GGCGAGGACGATGATAATGACCAAACTGAAGACCAATGTCAGCACCAGTCCAGACACCATTAACGGAGTCTCCTCCACGCACTGCAGACAAGCCCTGTGGGTGGCCTGATAGCAGCAGCACACGCCCTCTATCACAGTCTGCCTGGACAGGTTGCTTCGTCGGTCGTCGTCTTCGTTGGCCCACCTGATGTCGATGCTGTCCCCGGATTGGCTGGCCCTGGGGGAAACACTGGGTAATTCTGGCGAGCTTCCACTCAGTGATTTTTTTGTTTTTGCTTTAGTAGTCACGTCAGTTTTAGAATCAATGCCATAGTTGTCATGACTGTTTTTAGGGGTTTGCTCAAGCTGAGAGGTGTTCAAGCTGGATTCAGACAGATTGATGGGAGAGATCCGGCTAGCCTTTTCGAATACGTTTCCATCGAGCTCAGACAGCTCTTCGTCACAGGAATCAGCGCTTAAACTCGCGCCGCCGTAACCGGGAAGGGATTTTGAGCTGCCGTAGTCCGAATCACTGCAGCTGTTCTTTTGCATCGAAGCCCTGCTGTCACTTTGTAGCTTATCACGATCTGCACCTGCTCCCTTCACCAAAGAGTTGGCTTTGTTTGGTTCGGGGGCCTGTGTAGTCTTGGCCACTCCCACCTGTACGGAAAGTCCTGACTCGCCTCCGATGACGAGGCTGCCTGTGCTACCATTTCTGCTTTTAGTAGAGCGCTTTAAGTTGTCTGTGAAGTCCTCCAGCTCAATGATGTTGCGCCCGTTGACTTTGCCCTCCCCGTCGTTGGAGACGACAACAATATTTGGCACCAAGGACAGCTGCGAAGCTTCTGCTCCAGGCCTCCCCCCGTCCTGGATACCTCGGGACTCGTCTGGCATGGTGACCCAGTGTGAGTGCGAGGGCTTTCGCAGTCTGCCAACCTGTCACTTTGCTTTTCCCCTTGTGCCCGTCAGCTCCTCTGCATGACAAAAACACACTAGAACAGTGTTTGTTTGTCTTTACTTTCCCTTGTCGGGTGCTGTTAACGTCTGAGCAGCAAGGAGAAGAGTCAGAGAGTATTTCAGAGAGAGTCCAGCTCCTCTGTTTTCAGCACTCTGCAGTCAGGCGATGAGGCTGAAGACGCTCCCTCTGGATGTGTTACGGACCCAAAGATTGTCGATAAGGAATCTTAAACTGCAAGATACCCTCTTTAGATGAGCTCTGATCCATACTGGGGGGAAGAAGGGTCTCCCTGTCAACAAGAAAAACACAGAAAGACCACACATTCAGCAAAGGTTAAACCAAGCCTTCACCTTCAGCTTCCAAAGCCTGATAACACGCGCACTCAGTTTGTACCTGCCCTCGTTTTAATGCTATTTTAATGACCGACTTCTTCTAGTCCTTTCCCCATTATGCAAAAAAACTTGTTAGTCTGGCTGCAGGCACTTCCCCAGTAACACACTCATGTGTGCACCCTGTTCAGGTGTGTACTGGAATGACACGCAGCTGACGCACTCACTGAGTATTGGAAACATTTTTTCAAGCCACCACCTAGATGCAGTGGTTTGCTCTGATCTGCCTCTTCCCCTTTCCTCACTGTATCTGATTAGTATGCAAAACATCATGACTGCCACTTCCAAGTCCCCATCAATTCAGAGATTAAAATATCCTTTTGATCTGTCCAGTCTGCTGCAAAAAAACCATCAGATATCAGATTTAATAGCAGAGTCATGGAGGGATTACCGGGTAATTCATCTGATTCAAACCGCTCACCTTGACCAACCTGCACCCGGCGCAGGAGGTCAGCTTTAAGCCGCACACTTTGAGATTGAATGACAACAGCGTGGTTTCTTTCATTCACTCTCTAACACAGGAGCACTGTGTCTGCTCATGTGGCAGAGACAGCGCAGTTATTGTTCTTACTTTGTGGTCCTTTTCCCATGGCCGCTGGTTTCACTAC